TTGAATAGGTTGAATTAAATCTTGTATTAAACATGTTTTTGTTTTCATGTCTGCCTGACACTGTTGTTAACAGCCTTGTTCTCAGAATGTTTTCTATTCAAAACCTGTGTAAAATCTGCAAGAGCAATGGAGAGGTATTTGAGACCTATTGCCTCTACAAAGGGAGCTGCATGTTTACAAGAATAGGACAAGCACATTACATAGAAACAATGGTGCAGTGCCTCCAGCCCCGCTCTCTTTCACTCACTCTCCCACCCCCTCAGGGTTAGCAGACCTTCCTTGGTGTTCAAAGATTATCTGTTAATCCAAAATGTGCAGGAGCATGAGATGACAGCAGAGAGACCAATACTCAGGGGGAGGGACCAGACGCACCATGGCTTTATTTGTTTGTTGGCTTTCATATTAATCCATTGGAACATGCATTTTCTGGCCATGTGTGTAAATGTTCCAGAGGCATTAAACGGAAGATGAAATTTTCAATGGATGGCATGTAAAAGTATTAATTGTAAAGACCATTATTTGGTGTCCATGAGGCTGAATCAGCTTAGCCACTCCAGTCACCCATTTGCATACAAAATGCTTTATTTTGGCAATCAATGAAAGTGCTCCACTGTATGTGTGGCTTATCACATGCTTGCAGGAAATGGATTCCTTCGCCATCTCGTTAAATTCTGTTGATGCAGAACAATTTGAAACATGGCACAGGCAGCAATGACATTTAAAGATGCCTCGGCTTAATTATATTTTGCAAACATTTGGCTGTTTGTCCTCTGGGATAAAGTGCCTCCACTACAAAGTTAACTTGTTAATAATTCAAAATGAATCTCTCTTTTTGTTGAGCACCAATCATTATCTCCTATTAGTGCTGGTTAAGGGCATTCAAGGTGCTTCTGCACACAAGAGACATGCTTCTATTTAATATTGAAAAGGAGCACATGCAGCGGCCAGCATAATACAGCAGCAACATCCAGGCCACTTCAGCTCAAGAGTAAAAGAGGGACTGTTTCATTATGGCCATGAAACGCAGATTAGAACAAATTGTCATGTTTTATCTTTCTTTTTATGTTTAGTTTACAGATCAACTTTTATTTTGAAACATTATGTACTGCTTCTCATTGATTCTCACACTATGATAAAGATGATTATAGAAACCTCAGACTTTAGAACACTTTACAAGACTATATAGATGTAATTTGAAAAAACAAATGCAAATACAGTATTTTAATGATTCTTTTCTGTCTTGTGTGAACATCAAAGAAATGCAATATCTTTTAAGTTGTATTCTGATGATGCAAGGGGTTATATATAGAAAGCATATCTATTTTTACACAGTAATTAAAACTCAGTTTGTGTGCGCTGCATTCAGATCTGCTCCATTATTTTGTTTATTCGTAGCTGTCCAATTCTTTCCTGGTTTAAGATTCATGACATTGCCCTTCATTGAAAGCAGGTGCAGCCTCATCAAATCAAATCACCCCCTAAAAAAAGAAAAAAAATGAACCTTTCTCAAAACATATAGATATAGTCGTGCATTGATTTAATATAGCGCCGTGAGGCCTTGCACCTACACTCGACATGCAATTTGGAAATAAATTGACTGATTTAGATAGAGGCATGGAGAGGAGGAGGAGTGGGCGCAATGTGAAAACACAATCCACCATTGAATAAGGTGACATTGCACAACAAATCACTTACATGAATGGAGAAACACACTGATTTCTACGTCTAAGAAAGTCATATTGTTAGTGGACAGTACAGGCATTGTCATATAGGTGAAGCTGTTACAGAGCTATGGGGAGAATCATGTCAAATAAAATACGATATGTATTTGTCTACAATATCATTCTATATGTTTTCATTTCTAATCAGATAGTGTAGGCACATTTGGATTATATTATATAACAATATAATCAAATAAATTACATATTTATAAAAGGTCAGTAACAGGGTCGTGCCCAAACGAATATTAGTGAGCAGTATTATAACAGAGTTTTTGGGTAATTTTGAAATCAAGATAGCAATTTGTCTAAATTAATAAATCATAACAATGTAAACAATGAGCTACAAGGCAAGAGAACTCCTTTAACTAGTGATTAATCTGTACATATTTTATTGTTGCAGCTAGTCTGCTACTCTCTGCATTTTTGAAGTTTCTGTAGCAATTCGAAACAACTCATTTGCACCTCCAAAAACACATTTACCCCAGCTAGCCACTATACCTTCTGTGGTAGCGACAGTGTTTTGCTGCAGTGGAGTCTATTGTGTTTTAATTGAGCCCAATGAGGAATAATTAAGTAATTAAAGGCTTGATAAGAACCCAGTAAACAGATAAAAGAGCAGTGTGTGAATCAACAATACGGTCCCTTGCAGTGGATTGGACACACCTCCGGAATAGCATTACGAAAAAGGCAACAAAGCATCAAAGTGTGCAGCTAAAATGGTCCAGGCCTATCCCGAGAAGGGCTGCGGATATGCCCATGGTCATATTTAAATGTAATACTTCCCAGCTGGATTTGGGGGGAATGGGTGGGCATTGTGATATTTTCAACACCACAGTGACATTAGCTGCTTTTATTTTTTGGAGTAATTGCACGGCTTGATGTGTGTACTCTGAGGTTTCCATGAGAACGATGAAAAGTCAAATTTTGGCAATGCTGCAATTATGAGTGGAATATGGAAATACATTGTGCGCTGGTTCACAGTTGAGTTGTGAGGAATAATAGGGAGCGTGGTGAAAAAGTGAAAAGGCCAATTCTAAACTCAACTGTCTATAAAACAGTACAATACAATATGAAAGCGTATTCTTACAACTGCAGTGTTCCACAATAGGCCCTTCAGTGTTTGGGGCTGTTCCAAACACTGGTGCCATGAGCTCAACAAACCATAACATTATTTCTATGGTTGAATTGACATTTGATTAAAAAATAAATATATTATTAGAAATGTTGAGGTTTTAAGTTTTGGCATCTGGGTCAACCAGTTGATTATGCAATGCAATTGTAATGGAGCTTGGAAGTAGTGTAGTGGAACATCCAGCACTACTAATTAGCAAGTAAGGTAAAGACAACATATGTGTGGTTGTAATTAACTTAACAACTGCAATGACTATCAAATGTGGATGCGTACTATTAATTAAAGTAATATGAATAATCAACAACTGTTTATTTATGATATTTTGACCCCTTATGGAAGAAAGGGATATCCAACTTTATGGCACAATCTTTTAACTTCTATAGCCTTTTTTTCATAGTAGTGTATTACAATATGCAGTGGTTATAATCTGAGTGGGCATCTTGCACTGTTTGGCACTGATAATCGATAATCCAGTCATGCAGAAACACACACATGAATATTTGTTTCCTGGGATTAAGAGCTTATAGACAGTGTGTGGCATGGCCAATATTGTTCATCCATTTTGTCACAGTTTTCAGTGTCACTGCAAAAGACATTCTTAAATAAATCATGCCATATAAATGCATTTGAATAATGTTATTGTGATGGGCAGTCCACTATGTTTATTAAATTGCTATTGACATGTGGTATGTATTGGTAGAATAAAATAACAAAGGATATGTGTTTGAACTTGTAAATGTATGATAAGGTTAAACAATAACACAAGATATCCTTTTCAGGTGATGAAAAGTGTGCATGGAAAAATAAGTTCATACATTGTCACAAAAGTAAAACGAACAGTCCTATGTTTTTCTGTTCTGCAAGAAATCTTATCTTTTAGCTCGGAAGTTATGAATCCCAGTTATTTAATAAACACTCATAACTTGATCCATTATAATCAAAGCCTTAGAAATTATTTAACATCACCTGTATATTAAACCTAGTTTATAACTGGTAAACATTTGTGGCCAATTTCTAATGAACTGAAATACCCTTTCCAATATCCAATTATTACTCAGAGCTGGCTGAGTATAGGTAGATTGTGAATTATTTATTCTCAGAACCTTAGTGCGCACTTCTCACAGTTTCTCTCATTGATCAGAGCTGAAGCAGGATCCTGATAGGTATTCAGAGAAAGACTCACGTGGGAGGGACCTCCTCTGTCACACTCTAACGCTAATAAGTCCCAGTGGTCCCACCTTCTTGACCTTTGTTGGTTCAAGCTTTTATCCACAGCAAAGGCAGGCTTCTGTGTGACCTCCTATAACCTTGCTCTTACTCTTCCTCTTTAAACAAAAGACATCTTACGCACGTACCTACACTATCAACTATGGGCTTAGAATAACTGTAAAGACAATCACATTATTATTTTTATTGTACACTGATACTAATTGCTGTTATGGTGAGATATGTCCGATACAACCTAAAGCTTAATATGATTGATGTCCTTTTATAATTACTTTAATCAATTATAGGATATGAGCTAAAGCCATTACGTTAACTATGCACGGGGAGTGGGTGAATATGGAATATAATAACGATTTGTGGCGTCTCTTTTTTGTACATGAGCTTGCACTGCCATCTGATGTCACTCTGGTGAAATTACAGGTTGAGCTGTTAAAGATATAAGACGCTGCATTTAAGTGCACGTTGTACATTTGCAAAATGTTGTTAGAAAGCGATTAAATGCAAACAAACTGAGAAAATATAAATTTCTTTAATCTCAATAAATAAATAAATCAATCAATCAATCAATAAATAAATAAATAAATTAGGCTTCACTTTAAAACTGTATGACAACATTAAAGCCTAATTCTTATTTGACCGCACGTTGGTGGTTTAGGGGCCTAGGCCTCTTAGTAGGCCTATTAAAATAGTTAAAGATGAAACAAGATTAATCAAATCAGTAGCCTATTCAGGCTATTCAACTGCCCTTTATTTTTGTACCATCTCAGTTAGTTGTTTATTTATCATGTTTTGAACGGTTCGTGAACGCGTCATATTTAATCTGGATTAATCCGATGAAACATCGCCACAGACAAACATCTGTAGGTCGTAGCTCACTGTGTTAGTGACGTGAATGTGCACTTGTGGTTTCCTCAGACAAAATGTCCATCACAACTTGCCAAAAGGTCACCCTGATCTCGTGCTCCGTGCTCTGTGTGTCTCTGTTTCTTCCCCGGATGCTGCTGCCCAGAGCCAAGGAGGACACTTTTCAGAAGGAGGGTAAGGCACTGTCCATCAGCTCAGACTCATGTTTGTTCTTACTGCTGCCATGCTCCACTAGTGCTTAAGGCCACACAGTTTCAAAAGCAATAATACTGTTTGTAATACAATGTGCAATAAGTAGTAGTTTTAGTTAAAGTGCTGTGTTTTTAGTGTAACATACACATATGTGTTGTTCTGCAGTTGGGCCTGGCTTCTACCCTCCCATGATGCACCGGGCCCCTCTGTCCCAGGACCCAGAGCAGTGGGGGGTGGACCCGGTGCATGCTCTCACTCACCACACAGAGACTGTGGCTAAGGTGAGGGGCATCGGCCGAAAGACCAGCCTGATGACTCAAGTCATTCCCATCTATGGTTTTGGGATCCTCCTCTACATCATCTACATCATCTACAAAGTACAACAGTCATATGATATACAACATACAGTTATTATGGATGCACCATGTGAAATCAGTATTATTTGTGAATTTATCTAATATGATTTGTTTTTATACAGCTAACATGTAAAGCAAAGCCACCAAAACATGATGACTACATAACTACATACAAAGCACAAATGGACTACACACAGTGTAAGTGGGCTATTCATATTATGCTTCAACAATTTAATCTTAATTTGTAAAATAGCCTAAAACACAAAATACAAAACATAAGGCTGTGTAGCATATGCTGTGATTTCGCAGTAAATGAGTATGAGCTCGCCAAGCTCCAGCGGAGACTGCTGCAGACGGAACAGATGATGGAGATGATTGTTTCTGGGAAGAGCAGAGGAGCTGGAAGGTAAAGACATTTTTCTATCCTCCTGAAAAATGAGCAGAAATAATAATACACTTGTATGATGCATTGACAATTTTCTTATTGCCAGCAAAAATACTAAATTATCAAAAATTCACACATTCAACATTGTTGTTTTTTCTATCTTGATATGTCTTTTGCCCTCTAGTGGTCGAAGTAGGAAAAGTAAACAGTCAAAGAGAGAGGAGAAACTATTGCGACACTTGCGACAGATCACTGAACTGATGCAGGAGGGACGACTAGAGGGGGCATCACCTGAGGTGGAGGCTGAGGAGGTTCCCTATTTTGCTGGATGGGAAGGTATAGGATACAGTATTTTTATGTAAACAATAAAAAGAATTTAGGCTTACAAAATGTTTTGGACAAAAATATATATGTAATAATCAAATATTTTCCAGAAAGATGTTCAAACTGTTAGATGTTCAAACAGTGATTATTTATGACTCTGTGGATTCTAAAAAGAAAGGTGTCAGGTGGTCATTAAACATAACATGACATCCCTACACGGCAGAGGATGACAGAATTATGCCTGATGGGTTTGAACTGTATTGTGTATTTGCAGGTTACCCAGAGGAAACATACCCAGAGTATGAAGATGAGCCCTGTAACAGAAAGAGATGCAAACTAGTGCCTCTAGTGGTGACTTTGAGTCAGCCCACAGCAGAGGCCCTCGCTGAGAGGATGGAGCAGGAGGAGGAAGACATAGGTCCGAGGAAACTAGAAGTACTGCACGAGGAGGATGAAGAGGATGAGGAGGATGAAGAGGAGGAAATAGAGGAGGAAGGAGACGAAGAAAGTGAAAGTGAGTCAAGAGTCGAACTTTTGGTTTGGGGTTGCCAGAATAAGACATGTTTGCATTATTGTGTGTTTGGGGAAACCTTATAGGTGCAGAAAGATTTTCATTTGGCTAGTACAGGTGATTTCTTTAATTGCTGGACCCTTTGTTAATTGTATAATTATGTAATATTGACATAATAAGGGAAATCATGTAGTGTATTTGTAACCAGTTACTGTTATCTTTTAGATATAACCAAGAAAGAAGAAGAGGAAGATGAAGAAGTAGTAGATGATCTAGAAGAGGAGGAAGAGGAGGAGGAAGATGCGAGTAGGTGTCTCCTTAGTCCTCCTTCCCCGATGCTAGCCTCTGAGAAGAAAGAGTTTCTGGGATTGGAGCTGAGTACAGAGCTGCGCAGCCACAGCCCAGGAAAAAAAATCACCTTTAGCGATCACCGTGATGTGTACCGCTATCCACGAGAAGATTCTTGTGAAGAAGACAGAGGAGGACAAGAGCAAGAGGAAGAGGAGGAAGAGGGGAAAGAGGAGGATGAGGAAGAAGAGGAAGAAGAAAGTGAGACTGAAGAGGTGGTCACTGGGGTGAGAGAGGAGCCTGGAGAAGTAGATGAGGAGGACCCAGTGATGGAGGCAGAGAGTCTTCAGTTTAGCTGTGAAGTTGGGTCAAACCCAGAGAGAGAGGCGGAGGAGACAGGGGGCACTCTCACTGAGGTTGGGGAGGATTCAGCCCCACCAGAGGGTCCTGTTCCAGAGCAGCAGCCTGAACACTGGGCCGTCAGTGGGCTCCGAATGAGAAACAGGAGAGATACATAGAAAAACAGAAACATACTCCAACTAAATGAACTGCAAACGATGGACCAAATTTGGAGACACACTGTCATAAGCACACATGATCAGGTATATTCATGTCCCAGGGACACTTGTGATTTGAATGACAATACATTTTTTACCACAACTCAATCCCTAATTTTGGACAAGCCTGATAGTGAACTTGTTAGAGGTACACATTAGACTACATTTCTTGGTGGAGCGTGTGTTGTCTGCTTGTCATATGAAAATGTTATTTCTTTTCCCGGAATGTTCCATAGAACTTTTCCATCTTTCATTTATTCAGTTCCAGGTGTATTTATTCCCAAAAAGTATTGGGTATGGTGGTGTCCCTTGCTTATCTCCATGCAGACTGATGGAGTTTTATGCCATTTTGTTGAACAGTCTATGCAAATCTCCCATTAAGACTAGGTTTCAGACCCTCCACATAAAAACATAGGAAGTACATTTTTGTTTAAAAGAAATGCATTTCATTAATTGCTGTATTTGTTTACTATTCTGAATGGTTAAGCAGCAGATGGAGATGGATTTGCAACAGTAATTTACAGCTTGTGGTTTCGTTTGTTATTGGAACGTCAGAATTGTACTCTGAAATCATCTTTTAAGCCAAACAACATAGTTGGTAAATTACTAAATAAAGGGTAAGGTTGTTTCATATTATTCCAGTAATAGTGAAGCACGGAATCATGAACATGAGTTTTATTTTTCTTGTTTTCCAAAGGCTTATACCACAACAATAAATTGTACACCAAATGTAAAATGTATATACTGTACATCACAACAAGTGCGCTATAGGAATGAGAATGAGGCTCCTGGACACATGTATGAAAAGCAGACTTTACAGCAAATGTATCAAGAGTTTGTAAATAGAAATAGTTAGAAGACAATTGAGTACAAGAATAGCACATTTGATAAAGATTCCCTCAGAACCCACAGTACAACAGCGGTATCAGAGATTGTTCTTTGCTTTCATTCAGCATTTTTTGATGGTCAAAAATACAAAATACTAATATATCATAGAGAACACCACCCCTCAAGGATGTGGAATTGAATAACATGAACAGCAATAAACCTGATACAAAATCGAAACTTTTCAATGAGGAATGTATATATACTGACGCCTCTTGCAGCAATGAAAACAAATACTATAGGTTTGTTTGAGTGGCTTGTTGGCAGTGGGAAAATCTATAATCATAAAAGCTAAAATGTTTGTGTTCTGTTTATAAATATAAAGATGCATTGTGCTTGCCTTGTACTGACAGTCCTGTATGCAATATATAAGACTAGAAGGATGGTACTGCCAGGCAAGCACTATGCAACTTTTTTTAGTTAGGGGTACACCACCCGCTTGTCTCCATAGAGATGTTATTGTTTTGCTAGTATGTTCCACATTATGGCATTAAACAAATATAGCTTGCATAAAAGCTGTTAAAACACACGGCTCTGACCCATAACTTGGTCATCAGTTTTTCCCTTGTAGATAGAAAAGTCATGATGTCATACTGTGGAATTTTCCAAGAAAAGCAATAACAACTCTGTGGAGACAAGCGCTCGACGTGCTCCCCACCAAAAAGTTACATATTCCACCTTTAAATGTGGACAGGGTAGGGTCCACTTGATGTGCATTTTGGGAAGGAAAGTCTAAATATACTGTGCAACTGGACAGTGTTGGAGAGTAGCTACAAGGAAAATCTCCAATACACAGTTTCGAACAGCAGGAGTGGCAAAGACCAATTCATGCTCATGTTTGACTTTCAAAGCATCGCACTGAAATTAGTCTTCAAAGGCACAAAAAACATATGTACAGCCATGTCCGACCTCGCACACAAGATAAAGTGCACCCTTGTCCAATACATTCACATACAATTACACAATACTGTCTATGGCACACACTGCAGTGGAACATGCCTTTGCCCTTATTTAAGTTTGAGAGAAACTCCGTCTAATGGTGTGCTTGCAGCTTTCTGGAGCCAATACTGTATGGCAACAACAAATAAAATCAAAAGTCATAAATATGAAATAAATATAGAAAGGCGTGCATGTTTTTTTATGTAAGGTTGCAGAATTCATGGTGGAAATGTCACATAAGATCAATATAAAACATACCAATGTGAAAAAGACTGTTATACATGTGTTTAACTACGCCATAAAGTAACAGTGTTGGTTCTGATAATGCCAGTAGTACAATACAAAGTAACCACAGTTATAAAACAAAGGATCCTCATTTCATTTTTTGTGCTTGTTCTCCCATTGTCCAAACCCACCCACGGGTCCCCACTCCAACACGCATTCACTCTCACATTCTCTCTGATCTTGAGGCCCATATAAAGCATTAGGATTATGTTGGATATGCCAAAGCTTTGTTGACAGTTAAGGGTTGATTTTTTGGAGCCCTTTTTGAGAAGAGGACAGACGGAGCAGCGCTGGACTCCAGGCTGCTGCTACTCACAGGCCAGCTTACTGTCGAAGCTGGAGAGGGCAATGGCGAATGCTTGCAGGGCACACATGGGGTAGTTATAGTCCATGGTAAAGACGTCCTCTGCCACGCGGCCAAACTGCATCACTATGTAGTCAGCTGTAAGAATCAAAACCAAAGCAAGATTAGAATGGGGCTTTTAACTGTCAATACTACTTGACTTTTAGAGGCTATTTGCAGTCAGTCAGCGTAATAGAGGTGTGGGAACAATGCCAACAGACAAAACAACAACTGCTGGTGTTATTTTTAAACTAAAGCTTGTCAATCTTGCTTTCACATCTAGTGTTAAGTAATGGTTAATGATACAATAGACTTGAAAACAGTGTAATGTTCCTTATCCTATCTAGTTTACTTTTAATACAAGAAATGACTCATTTTATTCAAATTAAAAGCGCACTATATAACTCAGGTGCAGGGTCCACCACCTGGTTGATGTGTTACCTCTAAATGACATGTTCCACTGTATGGCATTACACATTCAGGAACACAAGCAGATGGTGCCTCCAGGCCAAGTTATAGGTTTATGGAGGGGCAAGCTTACTAGCAATAAGAAACAGTAAGAAAGCATAGAACGCAGATACGTTTAATACCTTACTATGGAACATTACAGATACTGGAAACAATTGTTCTGTTTTTTTTAACAACCCTCATTTAGTAGTCAAATTGACAGACTGCTGTGTCAAAAACAACTATTTAGACAATGTTAGACCAGATATTTGCTGTTGTTTAAAGGTGCACTGTGTATCTTGGTCTCGTCATGCTATTACTGAAATGTCCCATAGTATGGCTTTTAGCATCTATCTCCATGGGGTAAAGCAGGTGACGCTACCAGGCATGCTTTTCAAAACAATGAAATCTCCTGTAATTATAAGTTAAATGCAATAGTGTGGAACATTTCAGGTAAAGCAATAACATCTCCATGAATACAAGCAGGTGATGGACTCTCCCCACAAAAAGTTACACAGCACACCTTTACGTCTTGTACTGGTCTACACCATAGACCAGGGGTGCGCAAACTTTCTGGCTCGCGGGCCACATCGGGTCCTAAAGTTTGACTGAAGGGCCGGACAGAAGACAGGACATAACGTGTTAAGAGCTCAGATTCATTACATTCTTATTCACATTTATCTTATAACCCTAACCCTTATTAGGACTTCAGACGCACGCTACACGTTTCATCACTACTGGAAAAGATTCAGAACACATAGAACTGTTAACTTCACACCACGAGTAAATGTATATTGTGAGTTCTCCGTTTTCAAATATGACTAGTAACGGCACAAATACAAAGCTCACGCCATACAACCACAGATACACACCTGTGAGTGTGATAAAACATTATTCCAAAATGTTGTACACATTAATTACAACATAAAGTCCATAGACTTCTTTGATTGATTTTAACCAACTCAAACTGGAAGCAGTGCAGTCTTATATCTTAAGCACCAACTACTTCACTCATGGTCCGAATAACTCCTGTAAGAACACTTTCCCATAAAGCATTGCGGCCAAAATAATACGCCGCAACTCAATGTATATATAGTGCGCAATCTACTGGGAAACGCTGGAAATGCATGACAAATAAAACATCAACAAGGTTTATTATTGTAATTTATTCCAGTTCGGCGGGCCGGATTAAAAGGTTTAAAGGGCCGCATACGGCCCCCGGGCCGTAGTTTGCCCACCCCTGCCATAGACCGTATATATATATGAGTGGACATAGTACTAGCCGCCACGTGCCAAATAGGAAATTCTTTCAGCTCCTTCTAACCCTGACTAAAACTGATTTACATTAGGATCTTGTCGCATCTCTCTCTGTAACTGCTGCAGTGCGCCTCGTCATTTTGGTCTTAAAATGTTCATGTCCTGTTTTGTCCATCAAAAAAATCCTATTCATACCAGAGAGCCTGGCTCCAGATTCACTCCTGTAACCGTTAGCATTGCGAGCGTCATTTGAGCGGCGCTGAACACTATGGGTGACGTCATACTCGCTTAGTCCTCTTATTTTATACAGTCTATGGTCTACACAACAACAAAATAAAAGTACAAAGTCATGTGAGTGCACTGACGGTCATTGTCGTGGATGATTTGAAAGTTCTTGACGGAGGCCTGGGTGACTCTGCCGTGGAAGTTGAGCACATAGGACTGCGTATCATCATTCCACACTGGTGTCTTATTGTGTAGTTCAATCACACTCTCTGTGTTCTTGTTCTGCCACCTGGCCAACAGTGACTCATGGTCCTATAATAAAGGATAATATCATAACTCTTATTCGTATCACAGGCTCAGGAAAGGGGATGAGATGAGACCTACATTTCGAGGGTGGATGGACACTCTCTCATGGTCCATATTCATACCAGGGATGATGACGCTCATTTTGCGCGGGCCCTTGAAGCCTAAAACATTGGTTTCCTGAAATGAAAAGATGAAAGATTATATTATTAATATATTCATGCTAATCCATTTGAAGTCTGGGTAATGTGTAAAGCAACTGAGGGCAAATTACAGGCACCTTTTCATTCATATTGTAAGAGCTGTTACGTAAGATCAAATGAAACAGGCTTATGTATTCTGCTTCGTATGGTTCATTGCACAGCATTTATTCCACACTATCCCACACTATTTTGATAAAAATTTGGATGTACATGTATAACTAGTGCTGTCATGCGATTTAAAAAATTTAAAGATTAATTAATTATGATCTGTAATTAATTAATCTAATTAATCTCTTTTTAATCTCACCTAAAAATTGCTGAGAAAAGCCTTCAATTTGAGGTATTTTCATTTAAATTCATTATTACATTATTGTGGCAGATCAAAAGACTGATATAGATTAAAAAAAGTGACTTTATAAAGTCATTTATTGTTTAACAAATCTCTCCAAACTGGCTGTTGAGTCCAAGTCTCCATGAATAAGAAACTGTTTGCTGTAAAGTAGCAAAGACTAGGAAATCTGAACATAATAACTTTTGTTTACTTAAAGACAATAAAAAGTCCAGTCTTTCCTTAACCATATTAAAAATATTATTGATAGAGAAATGCTTTATATATGAAATCACTGGTTTTAGTCCTGGTTTAGACCTGCTTTAGTCCTACTTTAGTCCTAGTTTAGTCCTGGAATGGATTAATCCTGGTTTTAGTCCTGGTGTTAGTTCTGGTTTAGTCCTGGTTTAGTCCTGGTTTAGACCTGGTTTAGACCTGGTTTTAGTTCTGGTTTTAGTTCTGGTTTAGTCCTGGTTTAGTCCTGGTTTAGACCTGGTTTTAGTTCTGGTTTTAGTTCTGGTTTTAGTTCTGGTTTAGTCCTGGTTTAATCCTGGCTTAGATCTGGTTTAGACCTGGTTTTATTTCTGGTTTTAGTTCTGGTTTAGTCCTGGTTTAGTCCTGGTTTAGACCTGGTTTAGTCCTGGTTTAATCTTGGTTTAGTCCTGGTTTAGTCCTGGTTTAGACCTGGTTTTAGTTCTGGTTTTAGTTCTGGTTTAGTCCTGGTTTAGACCTGGTTTAGTCCTGGTTTAGTCCTGGACTGGGTTAGTCCCGGTTTTAGTCTTGCTGTTAGTTCTGGTTTAGAGGCGCACAGGAGGAAGCGCGGTTTACGCAGCGTACGCGAGAAAACGTACGCGGCGCGCGAGAGGACAGCGTATGGAAGGAAACGTGGTCAGCACGTTCTCAGGTTAATGATGATGATGAAGGTGTGTGTTTGTGTGTGTGTTTGTTTGTGTGTGTTTGTGTGCGTGTCCCCTCCTGTGGCAGGTCACTATAGGACAGTAGTGCAGACATCATGAGCCTATGCAGGTTGTTTTCACCAGTGACATTTAAGTTGTAGGCGATTTTATATTTCTTATTTTCTTTTATATTTCACGTCGGGAGAATAATTTCCAAGACACGAATGTGTTTTTACCTGTGCACTGCTGCTCTGTTCTACTGGCTCTTCGACCTCGTCCATTGTGCGACTGACGCCGCCAACGTTAACATGACGTTCACATCGCTCTTACTGCGCGCGTTTTGTGTGGGTTTCCGGCAATGAGTGGAATTACCGAAATAAAAAAATATATAAATGTGTTTTTTTTGTGTGTGTGTGTGTTGTTGTCCCAACAACACATAAAAAACAGATTTTATAATAAAGTAACTCGCATACAGAAACAGTAAAGTTAGAGATTAAAAATGAGATTAACGCGATTAAAAAACATAACGCGCTAAATATGACTGTAATTAATTAATCGCAATTAACGCGATAATTTGACACCCCTATGTATAACATTACATGATATTTCAAAAGAAATACAGCAGTAGCCAAGATTATAAAGAGCTTCACCAACACACTTAAGGGGACAACATGTACTGTCATTGTCAAAGTAGTAAAAAAGCTAAAAAAAAAATAAAAAAAAATACATTTATATATATTTTAGTCACTTTCTGAAAAAAACATTTGTTTATTTTTTAGAAGGAGAAATACAGCTTTGAGAGTTGACTATTCACTCTTGTATCCTAAACCATGCTTTGGTGGTGGCACTTCTAGTTAAAACGGGTTCCCATTCATGTCAATGGCGAATTTGAGAAAGTTTTGCAGATTAAGTACAACGTAAAGTCAGTTCATTTGTGTAAATGTTCAATGTTTATGTGCACCAAGAAGTCAACAATGCACAGATTCTCTGAGGGACTTTAGAATGGCTTTATAATCCATATTGAACTTATTTGCTGTTAGGATCAGCAGGCCAGTACAAAATAATACAACCCAAATGATGATGGTGGCATCAACAGCAACTTCTGGAATAAGGTGTAATCAGGGTTATGTTGCAGTAAAGGTGACCCAATGACAACGCCATGTTTAAACCATGTGTGTAGGATATGTATGTATGACTCACATAACAAATGGCTGCCAGTTCTTGTCGCAGGTTGCTGGCTTCAAGGCCAGTGGTGCTCTTCATGGGGTTCAGACCATTGTCATAAACTGTGAACTTGGTCCCCATGAGGTTGGATCTGTGCAGAGAAACCAGAGGAGAATGATGTAGGTCTGCACTTATATATAAAACACTAGCTTCACTTGAGAACAATAATGAGAAAAAGGCTCAGCTTAAATCATTCAGAGCAATGGGGAACTGTTAACCTAGTTTGGCTGTGACATGGATTCAGAAAGAGCTCTTTCCATCAGCTCACTCTCTGTCTCCTGCCTCTATGGTATACAGTATTAAAGTATAACAACAACAGATAATAGCTGTAATGCCCTAAATAATCGCTAACACACTGTGCAATTAAACAATGACATTTGGAGTTATTTTATTGTAATGTCAGGTGGTCTTCTGTATAGGGTATGGCAGAATATGTGTACTCAGACCAGTGCCACTGAGTGCTATCCAAACCTAGAAATGTCATTCCCTTTAATAGTCCATACCTTATTTATGTCATGTCCCTCAACTCCTCTTAGAAATCACTAGATGAAAGGTCAGGACTCATTTAAATTTAGATCTCCCCGTTGGAGTGGCTGTGTGATTGCGGTGGTCTGAGTGGTGCATTGACCAATGGTCTGACTGGCTCTGAAGATTAAAGGCCCCAGTCATATTTGATTAAACTCCCTGGAGTTTCCATGGAGCTGTGGACACAGCCTTGAAGCTGTCTCAAAGGATTAGGCTAGTGCTCACTTTCGTTTACAATGGCATGAAAATTAAAAAAAGAGCCTCTGGTTATTAGCACTGATGAGGCACGGTTGATCTCTAAATAATATGAAAGTCATATCGTTTATCGCTCATAAGAAAACAAGATGAATATGTATTCATGTAGTGAATGTGCTGATGATATTAGCCCAGTACAAGCACAGACATACTGTAGTATGTTGCACTTTTTAATGTAAAAGAGCAATACAAAAGACACACAAAGCAGTAACATTTCCAGTCTGCATAGTGCATACAAGCGATTGGCTATAACATCCAGACTTTTCGCAATAACTGTAATTGTTTTTGTTTGTCACATCCACATAACCCCTCCACACTGAGGTGTGCATATGCCTGTAATAGTTTAATCAGACCATGTTTAGGCAGAATAACTTTCATGACGCCAACGTCACCTTACCTCAGTTTACCAATGAAGCTCTCTCCACCTCGGGACAGATCAGTGGGATCAATGGAGATGAGGTAATTAGATGTTTTACTTTTTTTCCTCTTGCGGCCGGCTAATAAGAACACCTGCAAGAGAAGACAGAAAGGGAACATTGTTGACAAACCACAGAGAAATTTACATATTATGAAAGACAAATTACTTTTTTATGATTTAATAAAGCAGCTGACCCTCTTTCCATCCTCCCTCTCCAGGTGCAGGTAATATGTGGGATACATGCCGCGGTCCATGCCCTTTTTGTCTCGGGTGATTCTGCACTTCACCCTGACACCCTGAGGTGCTGGTCGCAGAGAAAACTCTTCCAGGTCGTCCACATCGATGGAAGGTTCATTTACCGGAGGGATTGTTGCTGAGGCGACTTCCTGCAAGAAATATACCAACAGATCTCAGGTAATCAAGAAAAATGCATAACAGCAGGTTATATTAATTCTGATAATAGTTTTTCTATTGCAATAAAACATAAAAAATGGGCTATTTTGGTAAAGCAATATGGTTGAGAACAGTGATCCCTATTGGAGTGCTACTACTGTATGTAATGCCTCAAATGTCTGTGTACCTTGTTGGATTTCTTGCTGGTGGCAGAGCCTGGTCTTGTGTTGCTGTTGAGCTGTGATGAACTGGAGCTAATTTCATCATCGTCATCTTCTTCCTCGTCAAAGTTCATACTACTGGAAATACCTTCAAACACACACACGCCCACACGGAAGTCAATACACACACGTATCATGAACTATAATGAACAAGGAAAAACAAAAACAAAAAAAATAAAGAAAGAAGGCTGTTGTCATAGTGATCTAGGACAGCTCCCTGCATTTTAATGTGTTCAATATGTCATCTTATCACAAGTGGGATGCCCAAGATGTGCAACACCGGTTACATGTCTCACTCCAGAATTAATGCAGTATTGACCTTACCAGTATATGAACATTTGAATGGTTTTGTAGGGTGTCTTTAACAAGTATTTACAGCAGTAAGAGAAATGATTATCATAGCAGACGTTGTTTAACTAATTCATCCATGTTGTCTGACTGGAATTAGTCATAACTATATTTCTGAGATGCTTTTGATCTCATCTACACGTCCAGAATCAGACGGAAATGCAAGAGCAATGCAACCATTTTAGTGGAACAGAATACAGAATGTGGAACTGCCAAGTCAAAAGAACAAAAACTAAAGTCAGTCTGATCTGTGTCTGTGTGTTAAGCCCAAGTGTTTCTTTTTTATTATTATTATGAGGACAGGTAAGATAAATTTGTCTTGGGTTACAAAGTCAGTGCTGCAGGACACACACTTTTATTACATACACATACATTCAACACATGTGTACAATGTCTGCTCTCTGATAAAAAGTGCATGGATCTAAGGTTCATAACTCCTTTCACAACAAACCAAAACACACTATACAGAACAACACTTGGGTAAAAAATTCAATACTAAACTGCCACGAATATTAATAATTTACAAGTATCTATCATATGCAATTCATCTTTGAGGACCTATCCATATACAAAAGCACCAACGAAAGCAAATTCATTGCGCAACAGCACTTAAAAACAGGGCATTTAAGATATAAATTTTATATTCCATTAGAAATATATATTTCATTATTTGTATTACTTAAAAAGGTCAAAGGGCACATATACTTGTAAAAACATCATTCTGTTGAAAAGAGCAACTGCAGAAAGAGAAAGAGACTGAAAAACAAGGAGAGACTACCATTAGAATTTCCAATGGTTTGTATGGTTTAGTGAAAATTATATTGATATTTTTGAGTGAATTGATGTATTCATTTTATTGGGGTGGTTATACTTATTATTGCTCTGTCTGAAACGTCTCAATGTCCCATCTTCTGTGTATGTGCATTCAAATACAGGTCTTTAAAGTTTTAGGAAAATACCTGGAAATGCATACATGCCTACTCCAGGCCGACTCAATTTTTATATATTGTACAGCACTGATTGCAGCACAAGTCAAAAGCCCAAGACAAATTTCCTGCTTGTGGAACAATAAAGTTAAACTTGAATCTTGAATTTTACTTCCTTTGCCTTTGCCTTCCTTTCCACACATCTGATACGAAGTAACATATAACATATCCATAGAGACAAACAGGTGGTACACTCAACACCAGAAAAGTTACACAGTGCACCATTAAAAACATCTTTATGACTGTTGTGGATATTTAACATTGTAAGACTTATTTAATCACTTTTAATCTAGAGCAGGCTGGTTTTTCATGTAACAGTAAACTCTAACATGATTCAGCGCTATGTCCTCCCACGATGCACTTGGCCCCACTGTAGCAGAAGTTTGTGGGAGTATACATGAGTAAATACTGCAGGGTTTGTCATGTGGGGTGGAGCATACCTTTCTTGAGCATGGTCACCCTTAGGTCCTGCTTGCTCTGGGACTGGGTGCAGTTGACTACAGGCTCCGCCTCTGCCTCGTCCGGGGAGAGGTGCCCCACAGTGAGGATCTGAATGTGTCCATCTTCATGCTGAGAGGACAGGCCATCCATCCCTGCTGTACACAGACAACATATGGCATCAAAGGGCTCAACAAGCTGCACTTTTTCTCTAAGTGTTTCAAACCCACTGTTATCTCTAATGTGATTTTCAATGGGATGTGTACATGTGGCATCATAACATTGTATATAATAAATGTCAGAATTCTGTGAAAGCCTTTTAACTTTAAAATGCAAATGTTTTGAGCTGGTTAATGGTTAATATTTCATTAGTTATAAGGACTATCCATATGAAACAAAGTTGGCTCAAAGTCAGACATCTTCTGTGTCAACGCAAATAAATGTGTGAGATTTTTTTTCATGGTCAAAAGTTGAGGCCATATTCAATCACAAAAGCAGGATTAGTGAAGACAGTTGAAAACAATTAAAGCCACTAGCTTCATATGGGAAATTTGTAGACTGAGTCCCTGAATAAAAACAGATAAGGTAAATGTAACCAGTGCACCCCAAAAGCAGTGACTTGTGCACAGAGGTCTCCATGAGAGACGCATCATAGTTGTTGGAAGTAATAACAGAAAATCTGTGATTTGCAAATGCCAAGGGATTACTTTCTCCTGCAGTAAAGGCATGCAGATCAAATTATGGAAATATTACAGTTCTTACAATATTTTTCTTAATAATAAATTAGCAGTTTTTTTTTTTTTTTCATTTGTCTGTACAGTTACAACACAATTTTCTCAACAGATGAAATGATGCAGGCGAGTCTAATTCTGCAGTGGCTCATTGAGAAAGAGTGTAGAAAATCTCAGTGAGCCTGGGAGTGATGCGTTTAGTGCGACTGGCCTAATTAAGCGCATTTCCCACTGGAATGCATTTGCTTTTTAAAATTAACTAGAATGTTCTCCTCTGCCACTAACAGTAACAGTGATACTTCCACTCATTGATCTGATAGAACAAGACATATGTCAGTCTCACTTTTCTTCATGAGCTTGACAACATAAGTGTAATTAGACCAGTGTAACAATCGCACAACAGAAAATGTTGCACAGCAGGGACACAATAATTATGCCTTTAAAGTTGTAGGCTAAGGCTCCTCAAGTATGGAACAAAATCATAATTACGATTATTTTAATCATAGTTGAAATCACAATTATTCAAAGAATTATTTTCACAAAGCATGTTGCGCATCAGCACCTAAAATTTAGAACACAAAGATACACTGAAAGCAAGAGACAGAACATGACATATATGGACTTATTCTATTCTAAGACAAAAGCTTTTTTCCTTGATTATTTATTTTTGCAGTCACTGGGTGTAAGGTTGTAAACTTGAGAGAAGCATACTGATGAACCAAACTCTCTCTGAGGAATAATTGGGTTTAATTATGACGATAAAATAATGGTCAGTTTTATTTTTCCATAGGGGAGAAGCCCTCATTTGGTGTAGTTGTGATTAATGTGAATATTGAATTCACTGCACAGCACTATTTTAGGTGATCAGTGTAATTGAGCTTCACAGCTTTATACATTTTAGGTCAGGGGTTTGATCCCAAGAGCACCTTGTCATTGTGTCTTTGGATACAACACTTCACCCACTTTGACAACATGTGGTATGAGTGAGTTGTGGCTGGAGCAGCCAATAGCACAGATTGAAGGCTGTGGCTACAATACTATAGCTTATCACCACCAGGTTGGGAGTGAGTGAATAATGACTAATAATGAATAATGTGTATCTGTTACCGTAACAGCTGAGTACCTATTACTGTCTGACTCAGTGCCAGTCCCGTGCCCTAGTGTGCCACACTGACCTTTGTGCTTGCCCCTCCTCTCCTTCTTGTCGCTGCCCGTCTGCGGTGTGGAGCTGGCAGATGCTTTGCCTTTTTTGGCCGATCGCGGAGGCTGCATGTCTGCGGTCACCTTCACCTCCTCCTGCTCTGCCTCGGCCACTAAACACAAGCCCAAAGATCATTAAGATGAGTATCAGGACAGAGGGACAGAGAACCAGAGGGACAAATGGACAGAGGGACTGCGGGACAGAGGGACAGAGGGACAGGACAGAGTGAGAGAGGAACAGAGGGACAGAGGAACAGAGGGACAAAGGGACAAAGAGACAGGGACAGAGTGAGAGAGGGACAGAGGAACAGAGGGTGGCTGCTCTAGCTCCATACGTATTAACATTAGCAGTGAGAGGGACAGTTCATAGCCCCAGGCTCATGAGCTGTCCTTCTGAAGTGCTCTGGTCTCCAAGTGGAGATAAGCAGACATCATCAATCTACTCTAAATAAAGTTTCAGGGTGCTTTCTGGTACAAGCATTAGATATACAAGCAGAATGATCAGGCTCAGTTTTACAGTCAACAATAAAAAGTGCATTTGAGCTTTGAACTGGACAATTTGGGGAAATAATCTCAAGTACAAATAAATGTGCTTTAAAGTTGAATTCACTTTCTCTGTATATCACCCCCCACTGACCACCAGCTGTACTTCAAAACAAAAATATCTAACAAATTAACAAAATTACTGGTTGTTATAAAATTTAAGTAAATCACTTCATCAGTAATTCATGAATCTACTGCTTAATCTACTTCTTACACTGCTAGATTTTCTATTTTTTTGTTCTGTCCATACTGTATATTTTGTACTTATACTCAGTTAAGTCTGTTTATATTTAACACTTTATTTATTCACTTACACGTGTTATCATACTATTATTATTCATTGTTTTATGTTACACCATACTGCTGAAGCAATTTCCTAGTTTGTGAAATTGTTCCCTGATAATCTAAAGATGGTTGTGGTTCAGACCACGCTCTCTCACCATGGTACATAGTACTGCTGTTGCTACTGAGGTAGGACTCCACCAGCGGGGCCTGCTCCTCGCTGTGTTTGGTGCGGCGCGTGCGACATCTCCCGTCCACTGTGGACTGCACCATGAGAGGCTCCTGTCTCTTCTTCTTCTGCTTCTGCTCCAGCAGTGCTCTCTGTACATCAGCACACCCACACGGGAGATGAGAGATTTTGACAACTTCAGTAAACATGCCCCATTGTTGTTTTGTTACTCTGTCAAGATCTCCTCTCTGAGATTTTATGATATGACAAAGAAAACTTCCACACTGTAACAAAAGAATATTTACTAACATCATGATCTTGTCAGCACCCACCACCGTAAAGATTTCAAGTGGCGCTCAACTAGAATCTTAAAAGCACTTTCAAAAACATTCTATTTATGCATGTTTTTCTCTTTCTGACACTATTTAACCATGTGTACCATGTCATTAAATTGTCTGAACTATTGAATGCCTGAAGAGAACACTGAATATGCATTTGTCCCTATGAAATATTGAATATAAAAGAATGCAAGTTTACCAATAGCTACCACTTCAGTTATATCACTGAAACACATTAAAAAAACTTGTCGTATTTAATGTTATGTAAGTTATCCTTTTAATGAGAACATTTGACGATGACTTCAATCAGCTACAATCGGTCAATAATTCTGAACAAAACCAAATCTATAGAGCGTCCGTCAGGTCTGTCCAGAGTGTGTGACTCAGGCCTGAATAGAGCCAAATGACTTATGGATTACCTGTCACCTGTTTGCATATCTTCAAACAAGGCCTCATTAAATATGAATAGGCTCTGATAGTAGAGGGTTGTGCTGCATCTGTGTTTTTCTCCAAAGGGCTTTGTTAACATTGGTCACATCACAGATCACTATGGTGTCAACTGTTGTTTAGAATTGTTTTCTATTGGCGAACTACTAACATCTCAGTTAGATTACCCTTTTATGCTGAAATAAAAACCGTTGGAGGTTGTTCAACACATGCAGGAAGCTATTCAGAGGAGAAATTTAATTTGTCAACTGGACAAAAGTTTATTTTGGTCAAATATGTTTCATAGCTCATCCAAGCTGCTTCTTCCGTTCAGGTCAGACGCTGGTGGACACTGCCTTATATCTGCCTGTAGACAGGAGCTAATTATACTGAAACTACTCTGAGACTTACACACCTACTTGTTTACAGTTTCTGTTTGTTAGTTAAGCCTATTAAACTGCAGTGGGGTCATATTAGCATAATCATTCAGGCCCATAATGGGTGCTTTCACATTTTACACACTTGCAGGAAGCTAGTTAGTTAAAACACAGCTCTGACTCATACATACTTTTGCTATGTCCTAGGGCAAGACACCTTTGTGCTATTACAGTGTATAAATGTGAAGGGATAAATAGTTTGCGGATGCACATTTATGAAGGTTGAAAACAAATATATGAAAATATCTTAGTATTACTGCTATCGCATTTTGTTGTCTTATTACTATTAATACAACTATTTCTATATACTTACTAAACACACTGAGAGCAGAAAACATAGATGTTATAGGTTTTATTTCATCTAAATGCATTGAACGTGGATGTTTGTTTGAATGTTTGTTTTGAGTGACTCCACAGTTGGTGGTGGTATCAACAGCACCATCAGCAAACAAAGTGTGAATCCTCACTTTTATCAAGCCCCCTTCACAGGTACATGTTATGTTTCTGTTGTGACTAACATTTTTCCAGTGGCATTTCCTCTGGTCTGCTTGAAATAAATTCTGTCAGACCATCTGTCTTTGGAGCTGCAGCAGAGTCACAGTGTGTCCAGAGTGCTGTGTCATGGTGTTTTTCTGAGAGAGCTGTGATTGGCTGAGGGACAAAGTCTTACCTGCCGGTCCAGTTTCTGCTGTCGGAGGTTAGTGCCCTCATCGTCTAAAGTGCTGCAAGAAACAGACACATACACAGGGTTAAAAACTGCATGTGCATGGTGTCTGTCAGATACAATGGTACACTGGTAACTGCAGTTATTCAGAAAAACACCTAATGTTTAATAAATTATAAAGATAAATGAAATATTAGCATAATAGACACTTACATACAAATCTGAAGTACAGAATATTTTGAACTTTAGTAAAATGATCATGGTCAAAATAATTAGGAGGTGGAAGCTCATTTGCCGTAGGAAGCTTTAAGAGTTAAGTAGTCAACTGGCCAAACATGGCCACTGGGATAGACATAACAGTCTTGAGCACAACTGAGTTTTTTATTATGTTTAAAAATACCTTGATTTCTCTGTTTACATAGTAGTGCTGGTATGTGTTTTTGGTAATGGTATCACGTTATAATACTGTGTATGCAACGCTAACGGGCACACATGGGGCTATTATAATGTTGTTTTTTCATCACAAACATACATGGAGTTGTGTTTTGTTTAATTCACACATGTTTAACACACAAACCCTGCATATTTAAGATGAGTTCTTCTCTCAAACAGAAAACACTCCACCTTGTGATGCCACTGTGTTAACACAGGAAGTGCTCCACTGTGTTTAAATTTCATATGGCTTCACTAGAATCATTTAGATAATTTCATCTCTAGAACTGCCAATCTCTACTGAACTGAAGGTAAAAGATAACTCTAAACTTAAAAAAAATACTAGTACATGACATCACAAAGTGGTACAGAGCATCTTGAGCTATGGAAAAGACAACTCAATAATACAGGATTACTCAGACATGTGTGAAGGAAACACAACATAACTCCTGGCATGTTTTTGATGAGGTAACAAAATGTTTTAATATAGGACCTTTAAAATCAAATACATATGTTTGCTCAAATGTGACGTATATATTACTTGTCTATTACCTCATAAGTCTGAATGTTCACACATACTTTAATGCAAACATATAAAATAATTAATTTAATGTTCTTTTTAATCAACGATCGCCACTGTCACCGCAACACAAGTCCCCCATTTTCAAAGCTTATCACTAATTAGAGCTCATATTTGGGAATGTACCTGTCGCTTTGTACACCCGAGGTTCGTTTGCCAACAGAAATCACACATCCCTGCCACAATGAAAATGTATTTACTTCCACTCATCCAACGCACTGACAAACAAAGCCCTCCATGTCGGCAATCAGAGTAATCAGTGTAATCATCATGTGAATAGAAGAGAAATACAGCACTGCTCCATTTCACTGGAGGTCAAACAGCTTCTACCGTTGAGCGCTTTGGGTCAATGCTGTCCTGACATATAGCAATAATAGGCCCATAGGAGGCTCCAGCACCACATAGGAGTATACAGTATTAGCATAACTGTGGGGTTGGTATATTTTAAACCAGTAGGACATTTATTAGCTTGTTCAGAGCCAAGAGTGCATTTACTCAATAAAACTGTCATGGCCAAAGTACAGTGGTTCTAAAATACAAGGCAGGCTTACACGCTCTCTTCCAAAAGCTTAAATTCAGACATTACGTGAGACAGTTGGCAAAATCTACCAACTGCAGATAAAGCATGTGTTATGAGATCTCTTTTAATTTATAGATGCACTGTGTAACTTTTATGGTGGAGTGTCCGACACCTGCTCGACCCCATGAAGATGTTATTGCTTTGCCTATATGTTCCACAGTATGGCATCAAACATATCTAGTTTCAAGGAGACAATCAGATGACACCAGCGGGCCAGGTTACAGGTCAGATCTGTGAAGAAGCAAGCCGGCTTGCAGTAAAAATTTATGTTTTTCAAGGTATTTTGAACAATTAAAACATATGCCATTGAATAAAAGCAATAACAACATTTCAGGTAATGCAATAATCTCCATGGAGACTAGCATTAGAAAGGTTACATAGTGTACTTTTAACTTTGCTGCTGACACAGAGACCGTTATGTGGTAGATTTGACTGACTTAGCTGGGCAGGTTGAGTGACTTCTGTGACTAACATTGAGAGATGCATGCTTCTTCCAGTGGTGCTTTTAAGATGTCTGTGGGGTGCACTCTGCTTGATGCAACATTTATATAATTTACTGACATTATAATTTTCTTTTTTTTTTTTTTTTACTAAGTAGGCTAAATCTGCCTGTCCTAATTTATATTGCCTCTGCACTAAAAGCCCCATGCATCCAAATCTGATGAATAAATTATATAAACCTAATAGATTGTCACTAAAATTGGTCATTGGTCTCAAGAGTGTCAGTGTATTTCAGTGACACAATAGGGGTTCTCAAAAAGGGCTGGCCGGTGTTGTGATAATCTAATTGTGATATAACCCTATGACAATCTGCTCTTTTATAATTATATTGTGTTTCATTTCCCTTGAATCGAATGCAGCTCTAAAGCTCAGGCACACTCCCCCCTCCTCCTATTGGTCAGCCTTCATTAGACCCTGAGTGAGTGACAGGTAGATTTATCCAATAACAGTGAAATGTGAACTCTGAAAATAAGATAACTACATGCATTTATAAAGATAACTGAAGTTACTGCTTGATGAAAATAACTTTAAAAAATCGCCATCTACCTCCCACCTGTCACAAAAGTCCAAACCAAACCAATGGTGAGAGTTGTTTATCTATGAGGAGAAACTATCATGCTGCAAAGATGTGACTATAATAATTTATTACAGATATGCCAGCCAAGGGTCACAAACAATTCTTTCTCCCAGACCAATATTCCTCCAGCAAAAGACAATATTCATGAGTAATCTCCTCTTATTTTGATGCAATACAGTCCCTGTGGGCCTTCTTATAATTCAGTGTTTATTTCCACTGTCAATCCTAATGAAGAGATTCTCAAACTAATCTTACGAATTTGTCTCCCAGATGGAGGGACTTTTGTTTCATGCTGTGAAAAATTGGTTGTGAGATTTTTGTGTCATCTTGCTTGTCTCAGTGAGTGTGTGCACTGTATATCCTTATAATGAGATGAAAGAGCTCCATAGTGCAGCTGTCTTCAACTCTGCACACAGACCCATGCATTTTTAATGGAAGATTCACACCATGAGGAGAAACATGCTTATTGAGACTCCATATCTAAGAACTTTACTGAAAAAATACTACAAAGGGGGACCTTTTCTAATGAATGGAATATATTTGCATGATTGTAAATATGTGAATTCATCTGTAACTCACTTTGTAACTTGAACTGAAATTCTGAAATGTACCGTAGTCATGCACTACTGTGGCAGCAAAGGGAAGAATAAGAAATATAGATTCAAAATCAACCAGAAACAATTACAGTGGACAAACAGCTTGCTTTGATTTTCACATTTATGCGTTGATTAATTAGGAAGAAAATGATGATTACAGTCACTGACAAGACAGTTATCGTTGTGTTAAAATAACAGTGGTCACCCTATGCATGCAATGTGTAAACTTACAAGTCCCTTTAGTGTGGGCCATTGCATATATACTAAGTTATTTTGGGAAATCTTCAATTATATGGTGAGTGTATTTGTAAAAGAAATCTACTACAGTCAAAGCAATGCATTTAAAGCTCAGTGTGCACCATAGCACACAGCCACAGTGTAATAGGTTTCCATTGTCATTGCAGAGAAGCACAGAAGCAGTGTGTCAGTCGCTGCTCACAGGAATGCACCGTACCTGTAGGGGATCCAGTCGGAGGAGTGCTTGGAGCTCATTCTGTCTCAGTCTTCCTCCTCCTCTTCTTCCTCACCGCTGCCTGTGTGCGCGGCTAATGACGGCCTGCCTCCACACCAGATCTACGAGCTGTGAGGATCTGAGGACAGCAGTCAGCAGCAGCACCTCTCCTCTTCATCCTCTACACGTAAACGCAGTGTGACCATTGTATCCTTTTGATGATGTCCTTCAGTGGAGATAGAGAGCCGCCGTCCACTCCTGCTCAGCCATGCAGATGCACAGTGCACACAGAAATCATCGTCTTCGTCTCCTCCATGTGTCCAGTGAGTGTCCTCGTGTCTTCTCTCCTGCTCCAACCCCTGCTTTGCGCTGTTGCTCTCTCTCTCTCTGCCCCTCTACCTCGATCTACCTCTGTATACTTGCCCTTTAAATCCCTCCTCCTCCCTTCTCTCTCTTTCTCTCTTCTCTATATGGCTAAATCTCACACGTTGCCTCTTTGCCCACTCTATCTCTTGTGTTATCTCCCAACCTGGATTGTGCACATCCAAACCAAATGCAAGAAAATGATGTTTTGCAAGACCCCCTATTGTCTTCTAGCTCTTTGATGTTCCCTTCTGCGTCTTCGGTGCTATTTTTGAGCTGAACCTCCTCCTCTTCATCCACAGTGACTCAGATTGGAGCTCATTTCTTAGCGGATCAGGGACTTGCTTGGTTTCTTTTCTCTGATATATTTTATTTATTCTCCCCGAGTGCGTGCAGGGCATTAGCATATGAGTGTGTGGACCAGCCTTAACAGCCTTTAATTCAGCGCTCTCCACAGGAACACAAAGGAGCCCTGTGATAGGTCGGCGGCTCTGAAGCGGCTCTCACACACATCTGCTTCCGGCCCTAGTGACTGTCGCTACATAAACACTCACTGTGTTCCCAGGGCTTGTCAAGAGTCCATCTATAGACACACACAAGCCCCCATCCACTGTCACCATGGCACGCCACAGGAGATACATTCATGTCATTAAGGGTGTCATGCATCACACTGGGAAATAAGCTTAAAGACATCAGCCAAAAGATTATGATCACTGATAATATTAGTGCTAATCTTATGCTTTATTTATAGCCCCACAAAAGCACATAATGTCTGTTTTAGGTTTCAGGGCAAGAAGCTGAGCAGTCTCTAACCAGTTCATACTAATCGTCATACATTTTTAAGAGCAATATATTGTTTTAGGAATTTTTACAATTAACAAACTGGATTATGCCACTGACACAATATCTCCTATGAAACCTTTTCTAAATGGAAAATAAATGGAAAACATGAGCTGCTGTAATTAAAAAGGAGAATGAAACTGTTTCTATTTTCTGATCGATGTTATAATATTGTTTCCTCATCACAAACACACCTGGAGTTGTGTTTTGTTTCATTCACACATGTTCAACACACAAATCCTGCATTTTTAGGCTGCGTTCTTCTCTCAAAATGAAAACACTCTGTTCCACTTTGTGATATCAAGTGGTAATACAAGAAGTGCTCCACTGTGTTTTTAAGCTCCACACACTTTTACTAGAATTATCTGGATGATTTCAGATGGAATTGCCAATCTCTACTGAACAAAAGGTAAAAGGTTAAGATGTTAACTTGAAAACTACCACTTCATGACATCACACAGTGGAACATTTTAAGATTTGGAAATGTAGACACACTAATAATAAAGTGTTACTCAAACATGTGTGATTGAAACAAATCACAACTCCAGGTATCTTTTGATGAGGTAACAGCATTCTGATATGGCTAAAAGCCCCCAAGAATCCACTTTGTGTAATAACTTTAATAATAGAATACAAAATTTTAAAACTTGAATAATAATAGAATAGTAATAAATATAAGGTAGTTATACAGCCTTCTACAGCTCAATCTTATTGTTTACTTGTACACAAAATTAAGAAAAACATCCTCCACTGTCTGCAAAGAAAATGAATACAATACATTTCATTACTAATTAATACTAAAAATTATAGTGATAGCCTAGATCCTGCTACACACAAAAGCATATGAGTGGGCAGCATACATTTTGTTTTATAAGAGTAAGGGCCAGCCTCCACTCTCCATTCTGCAACACCTGTCTGTCACACCGAGATCTATAGAACATAATACTAAAAAGGACATGATTACAGCTTTGAATAACAGCGAGACACCTAAAAATATGTATGAAAAATACCCACAAAGCACTCACTGATGATCAAAGTCTCTAACCTTCAAAACAGCCCAAGGTAAAACACTGAAGTTCTGATTGTGCTGCACCAAAACACTAAATAAAATGAAAACATCCAGAACAGCAGCCTACAATAACACCATGACATTTTAACTACTCCGATTGCAATCATTCAGGGAGCGCAAACATCAACAGGAATTTCAAAGGGGATTCTCTGGAAGTGTGTTAGACCTTATCCTGCAATAGTACTTCAGATTCACAGAACTCCAAATCACGGTGCAAAATCAAACTTGCTTTTCCATAATCTGTGTTTGTATGTATGTTTGTTGTTGTTCTTTTCTTGTATTACAAAACATCTTATATATGTTTGATGTATTATAATTATAAATGGAAGGAACAATTTTGTTAAAATTATAACAATTATTATAAAGTTATTTAAAGGGCTCATATTATGCTATTTTCTGATCTATGTCATAATGTTGTTTCCTCATTACAAACATGCCTGGAGTTGTGTTTGTGTTTGTCACTCAAACAGAAAACACTCTATTCCACCTTGTGAGGTTATGAGATAATACAGGAAGTGCTCCATTGTGTTTTTAAGGGCCATACAACTACAGTAGAATCATTTTGATAATTTCAGCCCTGGAATTGCCAATCTCTACAAAACAAAAGGTAAAATGAGCTGTTAATTTGAAAAGTACCACTTAATGGCATCACAAAGTGCAGCAGAACATTTTGAGCTTTGGAGAGACAGACTAATTATAAGAGTTTCTCAGACATGTGTGAATGAAACAAAACACAACTTCGCATATGTTTCTTGAGGAGGTAACAACATTATAATATGGCTTAAAGCTCACAAAGGTCAATTTTGTGTAATATAGGAATTTGAAAAAGAACTCAACAAAACCTGCATCATGTTTAGTAAAATAGTAGACAAATGAAACCAAATGGTCATTCTGAAATTTTGGGACACTCTGTAGTTTTGTGTGCTGTACCACTAAAGCCACTGATTGCCCGCAGCCATTGTCACTTCTTTACCTCAAACTAAATGAAACATTGATTGTTTCCTCTAATGGTGTGGCCTTTTCAAAATGTCAAGTAACTGTGGTGTTTCTCTGTGACACCAGCAGAAAAACACAGTGACTGAATGAATTCAATCTACAGACCAAAAATAGAAACACAAAACCAACAACTAAGATAATAACCAGTTAGAATTGAGTTTTAGTTCAGTCTGGACCATAGACTTTAAAAAAAAGTGGACTAAAGGGAGTGTGAGGTCACCCATAGTGTCAAATGAAGTTCACAAGGCTAGAGTTATAGGGTTGAATTTGGAGTCAGGTCCATATTAGAATAGGAACTTATTTACGCAGAAAATAGCAAAATAAAAACACCAGGATCATGTAGAGCAGGTTAATGCGAATGAGCCCAAAACAATGAGGCTCACTGCTGCAGTTACAGAGAGAGGGATGACAATTTTTCAGTGTAAATTCAATTGGGGTTAGAGTCGATGGAGCCGGAAGCGCCTTCATGAACATGCGGCAGCTACCGGGTTAGCTAAGTCCATTTATAAAGTCTATGGTCTGGGCCAAAGTGTTGGGTTATTTTCAAGTGATAATGTCTGCTTACAATCAGTCAATCAGCACCTATGCATGGCCAATTGCATGATCAAAAAATGCATGAATTTGGATGAAGTACATTTTGCGGAGGAAGAATATCTCACAAAAGAAATTCTTAATGTCCAATAAAAAACAATAACTATGCAACAATTTAAATTAAAAGTTGCTTCGAAAGCATTCAGGTGCCATGATCATGCATTTAAGAGTCTCTCTGGCTGTGCCCTTAAATATTTAAAACAGATAACGTGCATTTAAAGGACATGTTTTTCTCATGTAACTGACCAAAGTCTGCCTTAGTACAGAGATATATTGTATAAGCAGATCAAAATAAGTCAGCTGTGTACTGTCTTTATCTAATAAGAAAGTGTTTTATTGTCCAATAATCAGGAAGTGTGCTGTTAGCATGCTTATTGCTAATATCACACTGGTCTCTGAGAGTTGTAAAGTTGTAAGCTTGTAAACTCATCACAGTGGATAATTGCATAAGGTAAGTGAGTTTTTAAGGTTTTAAAATCAGGTACAGTGCCTTTTGTAAAACATATATATATAACACTGTTGTAAGGAAACAGGATATCTGCTGCCCCTGACCCTTATGTGATAGTTGGTGGGATAAAATGGTAGTAATGGAACAAGTAATCCACCGATAAACAGGTGTAAACAGCACACTGAGCTGCATTTCATTTTTAATGCTCGGCTGACGGAGGTGAAGTTATTGTATCCCTGAGGAGTTCACACTTCATTTTAGGGAGAAAATTGGTCTCATATTAACGGCTGTGCTTCCTACTTTCTTCCAATCATCTTTCGTTTGTTATTATCCACTTTTAAACAGAAAATGAGCAGATCCCTTTTGCCAAATTGAGTTTTTCAGTATTTGTCCAGTCAATTCCTAAGGGCACGGTATTGTTAATAACAGGAGGCCAGCAGTGCCACCAATTAAAATAATGGTCCCAGGGCACAGGAGGCTGATGTGAAAATGGATATCTGGCCTGTGTCTGCTTGTCTGGGCACAATGGACCAAACACAGCTGCTGCACAAACACAAGGCTTTCTCCAAATCCCTCTTTTAGCATCTACATGTTGTACAGTCTGTCATGGCGTCTTGTGTGAGAAAGCACCACATACAAACAATGCAACAGGAAAGCATTCTTTTGATTTTCTTTGTTCTTTGTTACAGGGAACAGGGTACAGAATCAATCGAAATAGAACCTTCCATGATGTG